CTGTCCTGTCCTCCTCCCTCCTCTTCCTCCTCCTCCTCCTCCTCCTTCTCCTCCTCCTCCTCGTCGTCCTCCTCCTCCTCCTCCTCCTCCTCCTCCTCCTCCTCCTCCTCCTCCTCCTCCTCCTCCTCCCCCTCTTCCTCCTGCTCCTCCTCCCTCCTCCTCCTGCTCCTCCTGCTCCTCCTCTTCCTCTTCCTCTTCCTCCTCTTCCTCCTCCTCCTCCTTCGTCTCCTCTTTTCCATCGCCGCCGGGTTTTGCTCAGCGGGGGGTCCCCGTCGCAGCCCACGCAGCTCGCGGCTTCGAAACCGTGGTCTTGGTACTGGTCGGTTGCAGTCGCGCCGAGCTGCTCCGCCACCGCCTTGAAGAACTTCTGACGCCAAGGCGGGAAATTGCCCAGCGCCTCTGAGCCATGCTCCACGATGCTTCTGATTGCCTCCATGTACTGCGGCTCCGCTGGCACCGTCGCGAGTGTCTGGGCGACTTCGAACCTGGACGACGATCGCTCTTGCTCCTCTTCCTTCTTGATGAAGCTGCTCTCTGGCACCTTTGAGAGTAAGTCGAGCAGCGGCTCCGTTCCAGGCGCCTCCGCCGGGAGCCAAGTTGTCCACCGCGATCTCCGCAGACGCCGCTAGCCCTGGCACCTGGATGTTCCCGGTACTCAGGTAGTAGGTCACCGTAGTTTGACCCCTGGCCGTCGGACCCACCAGCTTGTCGCACTTCATCTTGCCTTCGACTAACGTGCGCTGCATGATCATTGAGTTGTGCTCCGACAAGAGGGTCTCGATCATGCATCGCACCGACGCTTCCGTTTCCTACACTGCAAACTTCATCACCGCCCGACTGGACCTGCGTCTGATCTGTCTCCACGGTCACCCGCTAGATCTCGGGCCAAATTTGCCACTGACTCGACATGTTGCTGTGCTGTTTTCCCTCGTTGCTGTCTACCTTATCTTCTCATCGGCAACTCGTCGCAGATGTATCAGTTCGTCGGATGACTGGTAGCGTCCTCCTCAGACCGTCGTTCGCAACAGGTTGATCGGTCTCGCCCCGTCCTTGGTCAGACCACCAGCTAGCTGGCATGACGTCGATGCCCATCGGATCGTCGCTGACAGTCGTGCTAAGGACTCTCGAATGATAACTACGTCGATCGCTGTCCTCTTATTCTTCGCAGGAGCCCCAGAGCCAGTGATGTTGTCGTACGCGGACTTTCAATCGATAGCGCACACGGAACCTCGCTTCGCAAACGCTTCGTGTCGACGCATTGGGTCGAATTCGGAATCCATCGCCTTTGGCAACATACTCACCATACTTTCATGATGTCCCAGCCCGTCCGCCAGTATCGGCTCCCGCAAGCGTAGCTTCTACTACTCTCTTCAACCGACATGGTCGCCACACCATGGGAGACCACAGGCTGTCCTGATCGCTGTAAGCTGCCCTGTCCACTGCCGTGATCACGTACCTTGCTTGCGTTGCGTCCTTCTTGACATCGGCAAAGGCAGCATGCGTATGAGTCATGATTGATGATCATGTTCTCAGTTGGGATGGGACGAACTGTGATAGATGTCGGCAAACTGACGAGCACAACTGACCATCTGATTAATGGCCTTTTGGGTCGGCACGGTTGGACTGCCCACCTGATGCTGCGCCACGTTCACCTTCACGGGGATATGTATGCGAGTCTGGGACTGGAGCCAGTTGCCCTCGCCCAGCGACTTGCGGCATGCCGAAGTCTCCTTTGGACTCAGCTCGCGTTCATCTGGTGCCGCCCGATCCACCTTCATCATCTTCATTTTCCACGCGAACTGGGCCTGCGACACCGTGATGCCAAAATCATCTTCCTGCTTGATCTGGGACCAGCAGAACTCACCATCGCCGACCTTCCACTTCCTGAACGGCGGGGTCCGCCTCAGGTGGTTCACGATTCCCTCGTACCTGTTGCAGTCGCCGCCCGTGATCACGTCGTCCATGTGGATGACCAGGACGTCCGACAGCTTGCTATCCTCCTCGCGGCAGAAGAACATGCACGGGTCGAACCTGGACTGGACGAGCCCCGCCTCGTTCGCTACCGACACGAGCTTCCTGGACCAGCGCTTCGGCGCGTCGATCAGCCCGTACAGCGGCAGGTCCAGGCGGATGGCAGCGTCCGCATGCATTTCGGGAGTGCCTCTGGGGGCTCAGACATGTAGAGCCGCCCGCCCGGTCTGTCCAGCTTGTCACTCTCCAGGAACGCTCCCTTGACATCGCCGATCTGGATCCTCCACTTGGGTTTGGCGATCAGCTGCAGGGCCATGGCCCTGGCGTTCTGACTCACCGTCGGCGCCTCGGTGTCACCCTTCTCCACCAGGCGCAGCAGGTCTGGGTCGCGCGAAACCCTTGACAGTGAGCCTCGCCATGACCGTCCCGCCATCCTTCTCCACCAGCACGAACCTCGACTTCAGGATACGGTTTGGACGCGTCGATCGCACACGCTGTGACCACTCTAAGCTCAGCGCCGTGACCGCCCGCCTTTCCTGGTGGATGGTCTTCTACTCCATGGCTTTTGCCTCTGCGATCGATCTTCCTCTTGAGCTCGGGGGTTGCCCTGGACTCGTTCAGCTCCTTGCGCCCTTTGGCCATCAAGCACTGCTGCTCCACCTCGACCCCCGCATCTCCCAGCTCCTTCCACCGCGCGAGCGACTCAGAGTGGACTCCTGGCAGTCCTCGCTCCGGCTTCTCCAGGTAGCAGTCTCCGCCGTGCTTCTCCTCAAGCTGGGTGATCACCGCCAGCACACACACACACACTTCGCCGTCTCGGTCTCCTCGCGCGCCACGACGAGGACCTCCGTGCACTGCTCCTTTGGGGGGCCTCTTCTCGTTCACCGTTGTCTTTGCTCGTAGTCGCTTCCGACTCCTGATCTCCTCTTCCGTCACGTCCTTTTATTCGAAGGTGGATAGACCTCCTACCCTGACACGTCGATTAAGGAATTGGCCGTTTTCGGTTCGCGAGAGGGCGCCGCGGCCGTCATTTTTGCGGGTCCAGGTCCGTCGGTTTCGGTGCCAGGCCGTTTTCACTAAGGGGAGGTTCACTAGAGGGAGGTTAGACCACCGCCGATTCATCGCTTCATGCACTGGGTCATCGCCGGCCGCTGCAGCCGTCTCGTCCATCGTCCGAGATCCACAAGCTTCCCCCCTGGATGCAGGGGACAGGGATCGCTTCCGACCTGCTCGCACGCCTCGTTGAGCCCCTTCGTTCCTCTTTTGACCTCCGACCTCACGTGTCCTCTGGACCCCGCAGCCTCCTCCTGTCGTGCTTCTTCGGCGGGCGCCAGCTCCATTCCGGCTGCATCTGACGCCTCCACACCAGCAGGTCGCTCCACCTCCGCATCGTACGTACGGGAGCTCGGCCTTGGGTGGGATCTCCTCCTCCGTGATGCCCAGGTATCTTGACTGCCGCGCCGGGGCCCCATTCTTTGGCGATTGCCTCGGGGGAGAGGAAGTCCTCCTCCAGGTCCCTGGCGATGATCTCACGAGATCCTGGCCGCAGCTGCCAGGGAGCCGGCAGCAGCCGCTGTGCGCCGAACGCGATGATGTAGTCCCGCCGTCGCCAGGCGACTCGCGCCGATCCTCTCCGCCTCGCCCTGGCCGCCTACTCCGAGTTGGCCTTGCCCCTCCTCCAGAAGGCCACGAAATCGCTGGCCTTGAACACCTGGCGCGCCCTTGGCCTTGCGTCCAGCGCCGCACGCATTGCGCGGTCATGGGGAGGAGGAGGATGAGGAGGAGGAGGAGGAGGAGGAGGAGGAGGAGGAGGAGGAGGAGGATCCTTCAGCGCCTCCGTGGCCATCCGATCAGCTTGTCTCACGGCGGCTCTCCAAACGAACTCTCCTCGTCGTGTGGCACCACCGAGTTCACGGTGGCCGAATTACTTTCAGGTTGCAGCTCGTCGGCGGCGGAGGCTCGCGCCCGAAGACCCACTGCAGCGGGGAGTACAGTCGACCCGCTTAGTAAGGATAGGCATCCCTCCCAAGGGTACCCTTGCATCCTTGCCTCCTGGGTCCATCGGACACTTTCTTTGGCCGCGCCCCGCTCGAAACGCTTCGAAATGGGCGTCCAAAGGCCCTTGCATCCTTATCGCGCATCCTTACTGTCTGGGTTGACTGTAGCCCGCTCTCCTCGGCAGCCCGTTCTGCGCTTCACATGTTGCCGCCCGCGTCTCGAGCCAGTCCTCCTTCGTCGAGAGCAGCCTGTCCCCGATGACCTCCTTTCGCAGGCCTAGAGGTTGACACCAACACCAATTTCGGCGGTGTGCCTCCACCGAGGGAAGACGATCCCGATCTCGGTGATGGTGGTAATATTCTGACTTCCAAGGTGGCCGAAATATTACCACCAACACCGAAATCTAGGATCATCTTCCCCTTGTGGAGGCAACCCCATGTGTTGATGTTGGTGCCCATTTCCAGGCCTCCAATTCTTGAGTATTCGCTCGAACCATTGGCCGTGCACCTCCGCCTCCGCGTTCTGCTCGCGGGCAACGCCCGCCGCCTGGTCCAACACCGACGTGCCGTCCTTCTCGAAGCCGTCCATCATACTTGGTCCCAGGTTCGTCGTACCCGAGTCCATCTTCACCCGACACGGCGGATGGTAGTCCTGCACCCACGTCCGATGGCACAGCCCTCTCAGCACCTGCGACGTCTCCTGCTCGAAGAACGGCTCCGTCTGCTGCAGCTCACACCCCACGTCCACCACGTTGAGGCACTTCACCGTGACAGGACCAACGATCCACCCAGGCAGATACTTCACGTCGATCGATATCGTGTGCAGCGGGCGCAGATCCTTACTCGGGGCTGCGGGTCGCAGAACTTTCGGTCGCACATTATGATTGCATATGTCGCACACCAGCTGCTTGGCTATCTCCAGGGCCTTGTCACACGCCCTGCCGTTTCGCAGGACCCTGACCAGCGTATCAGCGCTGCTGCTGCTGCTGCTGCTGGATGTCCCAGATTCTTGTGCAGTCGCATCATCGCCACCTTGATGTTGTTCTCCGTCAGCTTTGGCACCTCAGGGTTCATCACCGACAGCATCGTCGCCGCCCGCCTGGCATCCAAAGCCGCCAGGGCTCCCTGCACGATCCGCACCAGCAGCGGGTTCGGGTACGTATCGGTGAAAGTGCTGCGATTTATACCGTTCTTCATGACGGCGATGGCTTGCACGTGCTCGTGTTCTCCCTCGCACAGGGCCTCCACAGGCTCCGCGAGCAGGCCATCGTTCTTCAGGGACTGCCACTTCTTCGCGAAACTCTTACCCGTCTCGGGCTCTCTCAGTTCCAGCGCGCACCCAGCACTCTTGACCACGCACAGCTTCTCCTTGAACTGCCTCAGGAAGCTCGCCATCTCCTCGAGCGTCCAGGTCCCAGCCCCCACGGGAGCCTCGAGGATGACGATGCCACGTCTATCGCCTTCTTGTAGTCCCTGATCCACTTACCCATGTCTCTTGGCACAGGGTTCAGGGTCTGGAGTCTGGACATCATCCGGCACGGAGGCGTCAGCGTGATCAGCCACGGCTTCTCGCGCTCGATGATCTTCTCAACCTCCACTCGCACGCCAGCCTCGTCAAGGTCTCAACCGGTCTTCAGGTTGAAGGCTTCCAGGCTCGTGGCTCCAGCCGCCGCCGCTGCCTGTGCCACTCTCGGCGCAGAGAGCCTCAGGGATGCCGATGCCGCTCCGATTCTCTACTCGTGCTCCAGCCGCCGTCGCCTCCATGCTCCTCTGCTGCTTCCTGCTCAACGCCACGGGCTTCGCCTCGGGCACCGCTGCCTCCACCTCGCCACGCGCCACGGCCATCCGCACCTCGACTGGCCCCGACCCTTCGAGCTCTCCCGCAGCGTGGGCGGCGAGCCGAGGTCCCGACCCGTCGAGCTCTCCTCCTCCTCCTCCTCCTCCTCCTCCTCCTCCTCCTGCAGCGTTGGCGACGAGCTGAGGCCCCGACCTTTCGAGCTCTCCGGCGGCCTCAGCGACGCGGACCACAGCCGTTTCGCGCTTCTCGTAGACCTCCAAGTCTTCGGTCTTCCACTTGGACACCCTCGGGTTGTTTTGCGCAGGGCGGGGGGGGAGCACATCTCCAGGGCGTAGTGGCCATCATTCTCTCCCGCCCTCGTCGTCAGCTGCAGCCTCTGGCCGATCACCGCGAATTCCATCTCGGCATTCTCGAAGTCCAGGTGGCCACCCAGGTCCTTGACCCAGCGCTTCGACAGCCTTCTGACCGCATGTGTCGCACCATTGATGCCTGTACACATCCAGTACGTCCTCTCCGATCATACCCTTCGAGCACCCACTGTCGACACAGCCCTTACCCTCGTCGATCGTGAAGTTCACCGTGTGCACTGGTAGCTCTGGCTTCTCCACGAGCTTCGTCTGATACTCCCGCCTTCCGCCCTTGTCTCAGAGCCCCCTGAATCACCTCCCACGGCATCCTGTGGCTTGCCACCGAGAATGGCGAGCAGAACCGCGCCGATCTTGTAGGACCCGACGAGCTCGCCGCCGACGATGGAGGTGGCTTCCGTCTCGGCTCTGGGCAGTTCCTTGAGAAATAGCCCAGGTTCCTGCAGTTGAGACACTTCGTGCGCTTCCGAACTTCATCCGGCGGGCCCTCGCTGCTGCCGAACCTCCTGCTCAGCTTCGTGTTGTGGATGGCCGCTCTCGCTTCCTTCCAGGCCCCCGGATTCTTCGACCCTGTGGCCAGTCGGGGCTCAAGGGACGGGGGTCAATGCAAACGGGGGTGAGTCAGAGCGACAGATCTCGCAGGATCCTGCAGAGCCGGGGGTTCATTGACCTGGGCTTACGTGCAGGAACCTGCAGGATCTTGCAGGATCCTGCAAGGCCCGACTGACCCGGGTTCGGGTTGACCCGGGTCAGTGCGTTCCCAAGCCAGGACGTCCGGGGCTTCGCTCTCCTCCAGGGCCTCGTCGTCCGGGACGTCGTCGTCCTCCCGGCCCGCCAGCAGCGCGTGGCCCTCGGCCTCCCTGGCGAAGCCGTCGTCCTCCAAGTGGTCCCCACCTCCGCCTCGGCGGGGTGGGCGCGCTGGTGTTGTCTCGGACGCGTATCCGGTGGGTGGTCCTCAACGCGGCTGGCCATCGGCTTGCCTTCCACGATCTCTGGGCTGCAGCCAGCACCACGGCACGGTCCGGCGGACCCAGCCTTGTTCCCCTCGAGAGAGCGTGACCCTGAGCCTCCTCTGGGTAAGCCGCTCCCTCTTGCTGGGCTCGCGCAAGGACACGTGAGGAGTCAGCGCCACGTAGTTCGTAGCCGTCTCGTTGTTTTCCCGCTTCAGGTCGTATATCGCATCTAGCGCCTCCGCTAGATGATCTTCGGTCTTCGGGCTCTGTCTCGGGGTATCGTTGATCGAGACGCTGTAAGATCAGCTGCTCCCCTCCCTCCACGGCAAGGTCGCGGTCCACATCGATGTCGTCGAACACCGCCTGCGCCAAGCCGTCTAGGAACGTTTGGAGGATCGGGCCCTTGTCGATCGCCTACAGGTTGCTCCTCAGCAAGCGAGCCTTCCCCCACTGCTTCCATCGCTTGTACTCCCGAGGACCCAACGTCTCTGCTTTGAATGTTCGACCTGTGAGACCGCCTGCTGACTCTGTCGCCATCTCGAGCCACACCTGAGCTCTCGATCTTAGCCTCTGCCTCCGTGACTGTGATCTTGCTCCGCTACCGGTGCTGATCAGTGGCGAGGGGTCGACAGGCGAGAGGAGACTGCCTTTCCCCCGCGGGCCCCGCGCGGCCAAGATCCAGGCGGGTGTCCCTGCTTCCCCGAGCGAGGTTCCCACGCCTGTGAGCCTACGCAGGCAGCGGACATGCACTGGTGTACGGCGGGGGCTGGAGGCTGCACGTTGAACAGGGGGTGGGAGGGTGAGGGTGGGTGAAAGGAGGCAAGGGGGATTCAGGGCAAGGGGAAGGTTCGAGGCGGAAATTTATCCATGACCACCGCCTGGAGGGTCAGTTTTCGGAGCCTTGGCAGGCGGTGGATATGGACATATTCGGGCCGCCAGGGGCCGAAATATATCCACATCCTATCCACCGCCCGCTGGGGCACCAGGACGTCGGTTCCCAGGCGGTGGATGTGGATAAATCCCCCCCTCGCAGAAGGGGAGGGCGGAGGAGTGGGAAGAACAGGCGTAATCCAGCCGCCTCGAGGGGCCGCCGCGGCGTGGCGGCGCGCGAGCGCGCGAGGCCGCGGCGTTCCGGGCGGCGCTGCAGCTGACGCAGGCGGCGTTGGAGCCGCACATAGGACGGGGCTCGGGCTGGCAGGGTTGGGGTGGGGGAGGGAGGAGAGGGATGGGGGATGGGGGAGGGATGCGAGAGGGAGGGAGGGAGGGAGGGGTGAGGGGAGGTGGGGGGGGGAGGGACGGGGGGAGGAGGGGGGCGGAGGGTGGTTCGAGGTATTTGGTGTTTACACGTTTTGGCGGCCTTTACGGGCCTCCGGGGGCTTCGGGGTGAGGGGAGAGCGAGGGAGCGAGGGAGGGTGGGAGGGCGGGAGGGAGGCACAGGCGCGGATTGGAGCAGGGCGGCAGGGGAGGAAGACAAGGAGCAGGTCTTTGAGGAGGAGGGTTGGGGGGTGGAAAGGATGGGGGGGATGAGGGGAAGAGGAGGGGATGGAGTAGGAGGGGGTTGGGGATACAGTATGACGGCGACATTAGCTCCACAATTCTGTTTCCGGGAAGGCGTCTTGCAAGGCCATCATACATGCAAATGCGTTGATGTGGCTTGATTTGACTTGATGTTGGCTGAACTTGAACTTATCATGTCTTCGTGCTTACTTCATGTTTGTGGTAGAACTTGAGCCGCCGGTGCACGTGACAACCAATTTCAGCATCCGCGCTGCCCACTCCTCCTCTGCCTCCCCTTCCTCCTCATCCTCTTCACATCCTCCTCTTTTTGCTTCGTCCTCCTCCTTCTCCTCCTCCTCCTCCTCCTTCTCCTCTCCACTCCTCCTCCTCCTCCTTCTCCTCTTCCTCCTCCTCTTCCTCCTCTTCCTCCTCATCCCACCGTAGCCATTTTGGCTCAAGTACGAAACCGTCGCCCTGCGGCTTCGTACTTGTCTGCTGCTGAGGGGCAGGCCCGAGTTGTTCCGCCTGCAGCAGGCTACTTTCGTTCTTTCTCGCACCTGGCTCTGGCCGAGCCTGGAACCATTCCGTCATTTGTGAGCTCCTGCTGGAGCAATCCGCCACTTCCCAGTCTGCGCGGGAGATGGCCTGGTATTATGCACCTTGGGTCAAGAATCAACCTCGCCGCAACGGAGGTCGAGTTTCCAAAGGCCTGCACAAACCGTACCGAGTGTGCTCAAAGTGTGGGCATTGGGAATATGTGTCTCACGGCCATTCCTGCTGATGGCGGTGTACGTGGTACTGATGATGGTCATGGCTATGGTCGTGGCAAATCTAAAGTTAAAGGAGAAGGAGCTTCGTTCGATGCTGAACTCGAACGGCTTGTTGCCCTTTTCCCTGAACGTGCTGAAGCTCTACGCGGTGTTGGCGGTATTGTTCCACCTCCGCCGCACGAAGTACCCGCCTCTTCAGACAACGACCTGGACAAGAAGGTGGCGAAGCGTCGCACTGCCCTCGCCATGGCCGTTGAACGAGATTCTAAAGCTGAGCGGCTGGCCCTGTACGATGTCGAGCAGAAGTTGGCTGCAGTGGTTCGTCACAAAGAGGCTTTGGTCAAGGCTGAAGCTTCCCATGTTGAGGCGGTTGGTCAGCTCGAGCAAGCCGCAGCTGCCCATCGTGCCGCATATGAAGAGATGGATTCTTTTGACCCAGTGGAGAATCGTAAGCAGATATTGGCCGACGAACAGGCTGAGCGAGAAGTGTTTATTCGTGCCCAGCGTGATGCAGTTGCTGAAGCTGCACGTGCTCAGGCTAAGCAACCTCAACAAGCGGGTGCTGGTGCTCGTGCTGGTCCTGTACATGGCGCTGCTCCTGCTGGCGGTGGCGACCGTGATGCACCTGCTGGTCGTGAGCCTGGGCAAGTACCTCCTGTCCCTGCTAATATACAGGGTATGGATGAGGCTGCTCTCCGTGCCTGGTCCACCCAGCACCACCAGCGCTACGAGTTCTGGCTGCAGATCAAGGCCTTTCAAGCTCAGATTGATGATGATGCTATGCCTGACGCTCCTAGTGAGGCCACGAATGACGACGCCAGAATGGAGCTCGACACCCTCAAGAAGCGTAGCATCGACAATGCACTCACGCCTGAAGAATTGGACAAGATGGAGAAACTCATGCAGAAGCAGTCCCAGATCAAGGCAGCCAAAAGGTTACGTACCGTTCGTGAAGGTGCAGCGGCTTCATTTGAACGGGTTCTTCAACAGATGCAAGCAGGCGGACCTTGTGGACCACCAGCCCCCTGGCCAGCGTCAGGTTCAGATGGGCTACCGCAGTGCTCCTAGCACCATCCTTCCTCACCTACGGGACCGGCGTCAACTAGGGCATTGTTGTGCGTCCAGAGGTCGTTCAACGTCTGGTGAGATCAACTTTCATTTCTGCAATATTACTTCATGGAACGAGGTCGCCCTGAATTTCTGCCAGGA